CCACTAGCATTCTCATACAACAGTGCTTGTGCAGGTATTTGAATATTTTAACATATTTTACAAATCTGAATGGAAAATTGAATGAGGGGCCCTCCTTGGTGCGCAACAGGTTGAAAGCACAGCACTACAAAGGTAGTTAGTCACTTCAGCTTAAGTTTTTTCCCCAGCCAGGGGGGTGAACCACATGGCACAGCAGACCTGTGCCATCTCCTGTCTTGTCCACTGCTCCCCTCAGCAGTGTACTTTTGTGAGTCTGCCCGATCTGTTCCCCACTGTCTCTGGCGAATCCTCTCATTGGTCTACACCTCTGACCTGCACTCTAATTCTGTATGCATAATAAATTTTTTTTTTTTAAAAAAAAGAAAATTGAATGGGCTGACACTCGTGAGTTTTGGTAATTTTACTTTGGAAATAAACCCATTTTTAAGTTGAATGTACATTAAATTTTTAGAATGTCAGCTTTCACATTTATTTCCTACATACTTCAATAGAAAAAAAAAGAAACTATAGCTGGCGTTAAGACAATATAACTCAAATAAGATTATATAATAACAAATCAATTACAAAGTCACAAAAACATTTTAACAGCTACAATATCTTGCTACAAAGTATTTATATTCCTTTTTAAAAAAAGAAATCAATTTTGGCCCTCCCTGGTTGCGCAGCGGGTTAAAGAACTGCACTGAGAATCTAAAGCCGCTTCCGCATGAGTTTGATACCCTCCCAGGAGGAGACCACATGGCGAGGCAGACCTCTCCTGACCCGCCCGCTGCTCCCCTCAGGAGTGTACTTCATCGATCTGCCTGTTCTGCTCCCCTCTCTGTCTCTGGTGAATCCTCTCACCCTCCACATCTCTGGCCTGTACCCCAGTTCCATATGAATAAATAAATAAATCTTTAAAAAAAAAAAAGAAGTCAATTTTGATAATATATAGTTGAAAGATACAAAATTTACAAACCTTCCACTCCAAGATAATTAAAAATCTACATATTGAAATGGACTGAGTTTGTATAGAGGAAATTACATTACACTGAATTAAGTCAGTGACTATGCTGTTCACATCGAGTTGTAATATCAACTTAAAATTGAAAATAAAGTTATAAGCAACAACTAATAAATGAACCAAAAAAAAAAAAAACCCCAAATGTCAAAATGTCATAATGTAATGTAGGTTGCATTTTAAATGATTTGTAATGTCTGAATAACCTCTTTTATTTTAAATTGGGTAAAAGATTAAAGATGTTAAGTTTGAAAAAATTTTAATTTCTTACATATAGTAATTAAAATGGCACAAGTACTTTATTCAACAAAAACAAGTACTTGTAAAAGCCTATAATCTTACACAACAAAGTTTATGGGTTATTATTACTGCAAATCAAGGCAATAAATTAAAAGGTTATTTCTAATATTTCTAACAAAGTATGTAACCATAATCAGTCTTTTTGGTGGTAAAATACGTGTATACAAAAGTTAAATAACAGATAATAAGTATCTTTACAAAATTAGTCACATGATCACTACAAATAAGTCATTTATTGTATAGGTTCAGTATTTTATATTCATGTATAAACTTTCTAGGAAATTATTCAATCAAATTATATAATTAAAACCTTTTAGGGGCCTCCCTGGTTGTGCAAAGGGGCTAAATCTCAGCATTATGAAGCTCTTGGCAGTCACTGCAACACAAGTTCAATCTCTAATAAGGAACTGACCCACATGGTGCAACAGACCTCTTCTGTCTTGCCCACTGCTCAGCAGTGTATTTTAGTAGCTCTGCCTGTTCTGCTCCCTCCTGTCTCTGGTGAATCTTCTCATCCCTCCCACACCTCTGGCTTATGCCCAGCTCTGTATGCATAAATAAATAAATCTTAAAAAAACAAATTTACTAGTGAAAATTTGTGTTGAAGCATTGATTTTCAATATACACAAACATCAAACATATAGCATTTGTATATCTCCTACTCAAATGATCCTCCTTCCTTTTTAGAATCATATAGCCCTTGACCTGTCCATTTTAGTGTTCAACATTCCGTATTTTCATCTATCATTTACTGCATGCCTGAAAGTCTTCCTTTAATGTTTCTTGTAGTGCAACCTAAACTTTCAGGTTTTGTATGTCTGAAAACAACTTTGTATCACTTTACTTTTAAGATATTTTTGCTGGGTATAGAATCCTAGATAAGTTTTTTTCTTTAATTAAAGTTTCTGCACTATTTTCACATATTATTTATGATGAGGCTTCTGCTATCTTTGTTTCTCTATTCTTTTTGCCTTTGCCTGCTTTAAGAATTTATCACTGATTATTATGTGACTTGTTAGTTTTGTCTTTGTGCTTGGAGTTCACTTTCATCTGTGATTAGTAGTTATGATAAAGTTTGGGAATTTTTAGGTAGTTATTCAAGCATTTTTCATTTGTACTTGTCAACACTCCTTTCTTCAGGCACCAATGATATTATCAGACTACTTGAAGTGTTCCACAATTGACTTCACTGATCTTTTACAATTCTTTTTCGTGTTTGGATAATTTCTATGTATGTCAAGTTCATTAATCACTATTCTTCTGCAATATTTTATCTGCCATCAATCTCATCTAGTGTGTTTTTCACTTCAGGCATTATAGTTTTCATGTCTAGAAATATGCTCTTAACATTTTCCATGTTTTTCCATAACTTTTGACCGCATATGATGGTTATAATTGCTTTAATATCATCACATAGTTCCAACATATGTGTCAGACCTAGGTTGATATCAATTGGTTGGTTACTGTCTTTATTAGTTGTTTTCTTCTTTGCATGCCTAGTGATCCTAACTAAAAGCCATTGTGATTTTTCTTTATTTTTGAACTTTGTTCCGAGATGCAGTTGTTCCTTGGGAATGGTTTGATACTTTTAGATCTTGATTTATGATTTGTTGGGGGGGGGGGGTCAGAGCAGTGCAGTCTGGTGCTCTACCACTGAGGCAAGTATCACCTAGTGACCTGTGACTGCTGAGAACAGGCACTTTTACTAGACCCATGTGAGTACCTGACAATGTTGCCTTTCATCCTTTCAGTTAGTTTTCTGCAGCCTCAGCTTTCTCATTTACATACACTGACCAGTACTAAATGTAATATATAATACATCTCTGGAGTTGTTTTCTCTCCTTACTAGCATTCTGTGTCCTGCAAACTCTAGCTGTCAAACATTTCCCTAGGTCCTCAGCTCCACAGCCTCACTCAGGGTGTCCACTGTGTTCTTCCTATCTCTTCTTCCTGGACTGTTTAGATGCTTTTCAGGGCATATATTAGAAAACTGCAAGACCATTTGGCATGTGTCCAAATTCTTGGAGGTACTTTCCTCATCTTCTCAAATCCAGGGGTTTGAAAAATTTTTCTATGTAGGTTTTTATTTGGTTGTTTCATCTGGAAGGGTATATCCAGTCCTTGTTTTTGTTCTATATTGGGTAGAAACAGAAGTTATAAGTAGATTACAACTACCTTAGTTTCTCTGTCATGTATTATCTAAGGATCTGAAAAAAGTGATTACAATACTTCTCTTTTCCTCAACTACACATCTATAGGAAATAGGCTTTCTTCATATACTTCAGTCATAATACATTACAAATGAAATGCAGAATCTAGCTGTAGTTTGTAAAGCCAGATACTATATATTTACCAGAAGTATAAACAATGTTATTTTTTCTCGCTAAATTTTGATTGAGTGTCAGAGTAAGCTAAAGGCACTATAGAGGAAGCAAATGGCAGACAGGGAAGATCTCAGCAAAGGTAGATTTAGCCAAAGTATATGGCATGGAGCCATTTAATGTTAAAATTTCTCAGTTCATTTTTCTGATACAGAAAATTTACCTTTATTATATAATTATTAGGTACTAATAAAAATTACTAATAGTGTTACTCTGTTGTATAAGTAAAAATACAATGCACTTTCTAGAATATTTGCTATACACTAAGATGCATGAATAGTTGTGAATACTGTAATAGGTATGTCATATCTGTAAGTTTCCTCAGGTCTAAAGTCATCTGTGATGAACACACATCTTTAGCCTTATGCCCTCTGCTTAAATTTCTATTTCTGACTTACTAAGTCAAAACAGGCAAAAAGGGAGGGGGGTGGAGGTTGAGAAGCAGTAGCAGAAAAAATTAGTAAACTCAGAAAAATTACATAGCTAATAGGAAAGCAGGGAAAAAAAATCTCATTTTTCATCCTGGAATGAATTTTTAATACTAGAAACAATGAACGTTATTATTGAACAGCTCTTAATGTGCTTTTCCTTTCGTTTGATATTACAAAATAAGTAATACTCCCACAAACAAGTTGTTTTACTACTAATACTTTGAAGCAAATAGTATAATTGCCTAGTTATAAAATAATTTTAATGCCAGTTTTGTCTGTGACTTTCAAAAAATACTCACTTTTTTTCATCTATATAAGAACAATGCTGAACAAGATATCTGATGTTTCTCTTTTTTTGGGGGGGGATCTGAAGTTTCTAACAGCTCTAAATGTTAATTTGCATAATTTATATAGTCAATCCACTTTTTTTTTCTGGACTTCTAAATAAACATTTTACTAAAAATGTTGTAAAGTTTCCAAATCATATTTTAGAAAAAGTCAAATTAAAATCTGTTTCATACTAGGAATTGAATATAGTATTTTCTTTATAAATAAATTGAAATCCTTTATTTCCAACCATTTTCCTAAAAATATGGAAGTATTAAGTAAAATTTTAGATATGTATAAAAATCTAAAGACAGTTATTGAGAGTAGAATATAAAAAAGTATTAAACTTAGTAAATTGAAGCTTATTGTAGGAGGGAAAAGTTTATTACAATAAAAAGTTAAGTAGATCACATAGGTTTTGATGCTCTCCAATAATAGTTTTTAAAAATATAACTACTTTCCTCTATATTCTAGGTATATAATTGCTAGCTTTCCTGAACTTTGTAAACTTTTATGCAATTATTTTCCCATATATATATATCCAAGGAAAGGCTTCATTGATCATTGCAAACACTGATTTATTAAATAAACAAGTCCATGCTTATAACAGCATTCAATTTCTCACAGAGAAATCAAGAAAGAAATATTTTCTATCATAGATAGCTATCAATTGTCTCTGTTAAGTCTTCCAACTAATATTTCAGTAAAGAAATCAAGTTAAGTGGGAGCTCCTTTTACAGATGATGCCTGTGCTTTTGCCATTCTTCGAACCAGGGCTTCTTGTCTTTTTCTCTGAATTTCTTCAGGAGAATACTTTCTATTTTTCTCTTCTTCCTCTACAAATTAAATAAAATATATGTATTAGTTCTGTAAATTATAATCATCTGAGTGTGTTTAAATTTTTACTTTTTAATCGCCCAGATTTACCACATTGATTTGGCTATTAAGTCACACCTAAACTATTAAATATATAATTCCATGTATAGATATAATGGTCTAGGTCAAAAGAAATTCAAGCAATGATCAGTCTGTCCTTATTTGACATTATGATAAAATTCATTTGATTTTAAAGCTGTGCATTGTTAACCCAACAAATAAAACAAGTGGGACTTTAAATGCTAGTCAATTAAATGAGAAGAACAATAAAATCTTCAATTTGAATATCTTTTTATTATATAAAACGAGGAAATTCTGATATAATCTTATGATACATACTTTAGACAAACATGAAACAATGCGTTTTAACTTAAATAAATGAAAATAGGGAAGTTCTGCTTTTAAAATTGTACTATTTTTTTGAAGACACCAGAAGTACAGGCTGGCACAGCTTCAAATGTATCTTGCCACATCAGAAGCACTACCAAGGGTCCCATAAGCCCCCTCTACACTTTATGCTCCACCCCCACCCTCCCCTTTTGGTAGCCTCAGTGCTGTAGTCAGTTTTCCAGGGCCTTTTTGGTTTGGTTTGGTCTGTTCCAAGAATGTTTTAGTCTAATAACACACCAAGTTTTCCCACTGCCAAAATACTGAGTACTAATAAAATGAATTTAATTTCAAGTAAATCACTTTGAGCTAAAATAATAGATTATATAGTTAGGGCTAAGGAGAATCAAATTTTAAAATAAGTGAACCTATTTTTCTCATTAAAATGTTTTAAAATTAAGACTATTATACTATTACATATTTTAGTGATCCTGCCTTGGTAAAACTTTGTAATATCTGCCTTTCATATAATTAAATAAGAATTTGTAGCTGAGAAAAAAAGTATGTTGACATCTAGACAAAAGTGTGGAATTTGTTATGACATTTTTTTTTTTAATTGACAAAGACATCTGTCAAAAACCTATCATCTACCCCCCATTCCTTTCTTAGTAAGATCAGAAATGGGAAAAGGTGTTCAGGGTAAAAGATACATATTTTGAATACATTCCTCAGATTATTCTGATGACTTCTATTTCCTATGCTAATTATCATAGACTGTAGCTATTTTTGCTTTCAGAAAGATACTTCAAGATAATTTATAATTAGTTTGACTAATTGTCTAATACTTTAGACTTAAAGCTTAGGCATACAAGAAACTCAGAACACATACAATTGTTTATACTTGATTGACCAAAAGTTTCAAAGGGAAACAGGTTAATAAATCTATGAAAATAGAAAAGAACATAGTTTCCTAAAATTGGCCTTATGGTTGGCTGGGTAATATTCAGGAAAATGATATCAAATGATGTAATAAAGTCACACCATGAAAATTTGATTTAGTCATTCATTTATCCATTCAGTCCTGCTTTTAACTCAACCTACAATCAGAATACATAGCAAAATCTCAAACTTCTGTAAGGGTCAAAGCAAAAATAGTCTCATACTTTACCCTAAAACAGGGATCAGACATTTTTTTTTTTTCTGAAAAGGACCAGAGAATAAATATAAATCTTTCAGGGTCATAAAAATCTGTTCACCTCTACTACTGTAGCATAAAAACTGCCATGGATAATACATATATAAATGATGTAAGCAGTGTTATACTTTGTTTATAGCCAACTAAATTTGAATTCCATAAAATTTTCCAAAGTCACAAAACATTCTTTCTATTCCTTCAATCATTTAAAACATGAAAACCATCTTAGAAAGTTAACTATAAGCTGTATTTTGACAGGCCACTGTTTGCCAAACTGTGCCATAAAGCACAGGTTAAAGAACCTTTTCATTTTACTGGCTGAAAAGTAACTTGCTACACACCAAAGGAGAAAGAAATGAAAACAGTACGAAATATAAACAAGTATTAACTGCAAGATTAGGCACTATCAGCAAATATAAAGGAAAAATCGGTGAGGTACACTAAATGGCATCTACACAAAATGTACACAGGATACTACATAAAAGTCTTGGGAAAAATCAAGTAAACTAGGAAGATTTAGTTCTTAATGAAATGACTTCTTTATTAAATAAACCATGCTGGGAGTACAGTTCAATTAATTACTTAAATAAAAGTTTAAGAACTTAAAATTATTACAAGCTGATAATTTTTTAAGTGTCAAAATTTCTATTTTTGGAAATAATATAGAGAAATATTCACTGTTAGTGCTGTTAAGAACATAATTTGGTATTATCTGCATGCCCATCAAAATTCAAAATATTTCTTCATCAATTTTTGAATAAATAAGAGATATAGTCACCTGAGTCTGCAGAAATTTATGTAAAGATATATATGGAAGGAATGTTTCTAATGCAAAAATTGCAACCAGACTAAACTCCATCAATAGAAACTATGGTATACTATATGGTATACTATATAGTAGTCTATGATGGTAGACTATATAGTCCTTAAAAAGGACCTGAGTAAATCTATATGTACTAACAAGAAAAGACAGCTACAGCATATTAAGGTATCGGGAATTGTCAAATACTAGTTAAAAACTTCATCACTGGTACATACATACCTATGCAAGAAAATGCAACATGACATATACTAGACTGTTAATAGTGGCTTCACTGGGAAATCATTGTGGGAAAGGGGAAAAAGAAAGCTTTCTACACCTCAGTTATTTTATGTTGTTTTCTTTCTTGGTAAGCAACTAACGTATACTCTAATATTTTTTAAAAAGGGAGGGGGATAAATTAAGTAGGAAAGTTGTAGTAATAATCCAACAAAAGCATATCCTAGAATCTGTACAATGAAAATAGTACCAATTCAATGTGAAAAGAACTAAAACCATCCTCACCATAATATGGATTTATATAATAAATACAAATCCTAAAGTTAGTCTAAGTGAGGGAAACTGATTAACAACAACTATAATTATAAGCTAACACAGTAAATGTAACAAGAGTTAGTGATAGGTACTGGAGAAACTTGAGAAAGCTAATCTAGTTTAATCTCTGTAGTTAGAAACACGTTGTATTTTGAAATTTTTTTTATTGAAGTAACAATGTTTTATAATGTTTCAATTATATAGTATTATAATTTGAAACTATAATTTGTTTTAAAGGACAAATGGAAAATGGTCAGGCAGATTGGAGTATCCACGTGTGGGTGCTGTTTGTGGGGGAGAAACAGCAAGTGCTGTTATAACAAGTTATACCAAATACATTCCCTTTTTAAAAAATATTGTTATCAGTGGAAAACAAACATTTTACATTATATTGCATGATGTTCATCTAGCTATTAAACATTTGTGAGAGATATTGTAGTAGGTCTAGGTATTCACTGAAAAAAAGTTATCAATGTTGCAAAACTTGTGATCAAAGAAATGAGCAGTATGATGGGACAAAGCAGACATACCTAGATTCTGAACTAGGAAATAACTTCTGTTTGAGGAATAGGCAAGTTCTTGAGAGATAATCAAGAGCCTTATAAGACCGCAGTTTTAAGTTTGGATTTTATTTGAACTATGATAAACAGTCATTTAAAGTCAAATTAACACAGGAATGTCATATTTGCCTATTTATTTTTAAAAGATTATTCTATTTGAAGATGAGTATTGAAAATTATTATGAGAATAGTAGTAGTCTAAGTAAAAAATGTTGGCTTATATAAGAGTGGTAGCCATAGAGTAAGAAATTCTTAAATGGATAATTTTGAGATATATTTTTTGAGATAGAAACAGGAATTTGTCCACAGCCAAAAGAATTGAGGGAAAAGAGAAGCTGGAAGAATGAAAGATGACAGATTATACTGAGTAATTACAAATCTAACCATCACAACTAACACTGAGTTTTATACCAGATGTTACACTAGCAAAGGTGTTAAATCGGAATGCTCTCAATTTTCAAATAGTTTACCTCAGTGTTCTGAAATAGATGAGTAAGATTATTGATTATAAATTACTTAGTAAATCTCACACAATACATATAACTAACACAATTTTCCAGGAGCTAAAAGAATCCTTCATCAAATATTTGAGTGCCTATTATATGCTAGTCATTGTTAAATGTTGTAAAGAATCTGATGTAGACTTGAAAACATGAACCAACCACTCATACTTGTGTAATACAGCGTATCTGTAAACATCTCTTTAAGAATCTACCTGAAGTTTAATTTTTTCTTATCTAATGCAAATTGAATACAATAACTAGTTCAGCTACTTTTTAGGATGAAACTTTTTAAAGAAATGTTTTTCATACATACCTTTTGATGGTTGTTTTGAAGATTCCGGAAGTTTTACCAAAGATTGCTGCTTAATAGCATCCCCACATAATGGACCGACAGTTTTACTTTTCTCTAAACACTGTGTAATTTTGGTATCAGAAATACTTCCTGTTCTGTAGTCTTGATTAAACTGAGAAAGTTGAGAATTCTTCACTCTTGTGAAGTTAAACTTAGAAAATCTAACTGTTCTATTGAGATTATTCTTAGCTTCATCTGTTAGGGTCTGACAGGACAGATGCTGAGTATTCAAATTCTTCTTACCAGAAGCCATTTCTGTATGCATATGATCTGAACTCAAACTTGAACTTCCTGTTTGAACCAAGTTGGAACTATTCAGTTTTATTGGGACACCAATGTTATTCCAAGAGATGTGCAAATTATTTGCTGGACAAGAAGAATTATTAGGGTATATAGTCAAATTTGTTGTAGCACCTAAAAAACTTGGGGAATTTCCACAGACTTTCCTTTTCTCTATCTTCACTGATTTATTTATTTGTGGGCTATTTGTCAAGGAAGATGTCTGCAATGAAATGCTCAGATTCAACTGTGGCTTTACTGACTGACTTCCTTGTTTAGATGTAGTAAAACTGTTTCTGGCTTCGTGTTTGGAACTGTTATGGCTCTCAAGTAAACTTTCTGATGTCTTGCTGTCCCTCGTATTGTCTTGTTGTTGAGTTAGTTTTTCAATATCATCACATGCTTGGTATAATAAATCATCATCTACATCATCTGCTTCCCAGGTATTCTCTAACTGATGACATGCTTTAATAATTTCATTGGCAAATAATGGATCATTCCAATCATCAAAGAAAGAGCCTAACTTTGATGCGTTGGTCTGATTTGGGTTATGAATACTGGTTTTGTTGCCCAAAGTTTCAGAGTCAAAAGAATCTATATTTGCAGTTGTTTTAATGGACTGATTAAAACTAGACTTTTCTTTTTGTTCATTAGAATATCCTGTGTTTAAAGTAGAGTTCGTCTCACAAGGATTTACATTGGAAATAAATTTGGTATGCATGTCTTTCTTCACTTTTGTCAGATTAGATGCAATTGTACAATCTTGAAACTTGTCTTGAACAATAACCTTACTGAAAGATTTCTCAAATTTTTTATTTCCAGTGAAAATTAATTTGTTTGGTTTATCACTTGGATTTGGTGAAAGTTTGTGCTTTCCATCACAGGATAATTCACTGTTATGTGTCTTTGAAGAAAATTGTAATTTTTTGGAATCTATTAACCTGGTATCTGGAGTTGTATTATTTAGTCTTGACTGACTTTTATCATTATTATTGTTAAAAGTACAAATTCCCTTTTGATCAGCAACCTGGGATGTTTCAGAAACAGGAGAAAGTTCAGGCACTTCTATATTTCGAAAAATAGGTTCATTACCTAATAAGTTTTCCCAGTTTTCCTCAAAATCATTGGTAGTAAATGCATCGGTATGTTTATTAAAAGCTTCTTCCTCCTTTATGTAGGAAGTCACACATGACGGTGTTATGGGAGTATCTATTTGATGAGAAAGTGATCCTGGTGTTTTATTTGCCAGCTTTTCAGCAACCAGAGTTTCGTTAGCAATGACATTTTCCTCTTTCAAAACACTTTTCTTTCCAAAGATAGTATTACTGGCAGTAAAGGAAATATGTGACACATCTTGGCTTAACTGTCCACTGCATTTCTGAGTTGAGCCATCAAAAATGGCATTAAAGGCTGCTTCAACATTCTGGTCAATTGGCTTCTGACTGGTATTCTGGTCATTCATCACAGGTATCCTGGTGTTTTCTTTAGTTGGTTTCTTCTTTATTATAGCATTATCTACTTCGGGAACTGTATCATATAACTGCATTTGTACATTATCTTCATAATTATTTAAAGTCTTTGCTTCTGAAATTGCTTGGATAAAATCATGATTTCTCTTGTTCTGCTCTTGAATCACATCTAGCTCTTCCATATTTTTATCAAATTGTTTTGCCAGTTTCATAAGTTCTTCTTCTCGATTTTGTGTTTTTAGCCTATTAAACAATATTAAAAATTAATGAATAAGTTCTAAGGCTCATGAATTTTCAAGTGGTACTTACCATATTTTACTGTTTAAACTTGAAATTTTATTAGCTCTATTACAATTAAATGCACAATGTTACATCAAAACTATGGGAAATAATTTGTAGCCACTTGGATACATGCATAAGAATAAATCAGAATGTTATTAAAAATATTTACTTTGAATCTCAGAGTGTCTGAAAAATTTAAACTTACTTTGTACAGTTGATTTTTGCTCTTGATTTTCCCTTTGCTACACTAGGGGTGCAAGGAATAGCAGTTTCACCAATCCACATTCCCAACATGGAATTAGCTGTTGGTTTTTCATCCTTTGACAGAAAAGGGAAAAAAAGAAGAGTGAAAATATTCTCATTCTGCCCTTTGCTAAAAACCCCACTCAGAAGGAAAGAAGCATGCAAGCAAACTTTAACCAGGCTAAATTACTTTTCTAATGCAATACATTCTGGTAAGGTAAGAGGTACTAAAAATACTCCAAGCAGGCCCTCCCTGGTGGCGTAGTGGGTTAAAGCACAGCACTGAGAATCTAAAAAGCCACTTCCACATGAGTTCGATTCCCGCCTGCCCAGGAGGTGACCACATGGCGTGGCAGACCTCTCCTGACCCGCCTGCTGCTCCCCTCAGCAGTGTACTTCGTTGATCTGCCTGTTCTGTTCCCCACTCTGTCTCTGGTGAAGCCTCTCACCATCCCTGAGCGTCTGGCCTGCACCCCAGTTCTATATGCACAAATAAATAAATCTTTAAAAAAAAAAAATACTCCAAGCAGCTGAAAGATGGCACTATCAAGTTGTAAAAAATTATCCCATTTTGCATTAGAAACATTGTGAATTGAAAATTTCTCATTTAAAAACTTAAGCACATAAGTCTTAAAAATTAGCAAGTACATATTTAACAGTAAAATCATTAGTATCAGAGATAAACTATGTAACAGAAATCTTAAGAATTAAGGTTAAAGATACCTAATGAATTCTTTTGTATTAATTAACTTTCCAAATTTTCCTTATATCCTCATTATAATCTGTATCTAAAGTTGAACAATCCATGTTAACCTTAATTGAGAACACTTATAGAGAATTTAGTATTGAGTTAGAGATAAGAATATGATGCTAAGAACAAGGCAGAACTAAGAAGAAAAATAAGTAGGAAAGCAGACAAAAGAAATTTAACTAATATTAAGGTTAGGAAAGAGCCATTTTAGTGCAGGGTATTTTTGCTATGCATTTTAGTCAGAAGACCACACCAAAAATGGGCAATGTGTTTTTGTAGTAGTTTAAACTAAACCAATAATCATGTAACTACCCAAATTGAATATAAATATCACACAAAGTAAAAATATTCTTAATCCTAAATTATATTACTTAAAAGCAAAGACTATTATGATAGCTTAGCATCAGGCAAAATGCCAGGCACAAAGAAGATGCCAGCCACATTTATTTATTTATTTTACTCTAACTAAATTCTATATAAGTGTTCTCAACAGATCCCTAAACCTTAGATAAAAAGGTTTAGTAAAAAACTTGGTGATTTAAATTTCCAACCAACAAACAGTTTTCTTAGATATCTATTCGAAGCTAATAGCTTTGCAAGACACTCAAGAAAATCAGTTATTTCACTTTCAGATTCAAAAGTTTTTTTCGTCTTGTTTCAACAACAATCTAGGAACACTAGCATACTTAATGATTTAAATGTAGACTTTTGACCCATTTATTGAGTGATTTTAAAATTCACTCTATTTTTAGACAGTAAAAACATGATGTCATATATTCAATTATAGATATGGGTTCAATATATATTAGTATATTTTTGTGTTATATTTTAAAATCTTCATACATGATTACATAATTTATTGATTCCAACTACAACCCAATCGCTATATCAGATATCTAAACATATCACTTTTTTCATCCTAAAAAATATACCTTGCAACGGTGTAGAAAAAATGATGGCAAAATATATAGCATCTTCAATTAACATTTTATAAAACATATCCCTAGAGAAAGTAAAATGATTCTCCAATTAAAATCAAAGGGAATACTGTTTTTTAAAAATGCTACTTCTAAAGATACTGAGGTAACTTAAGCAATTATTTGTGTGTAACTCACGTAAAAAAAAACAGCATTAATATGTCATCTGAAAACATGATATGCTTTTAAAAGATCATGATCTACTGAAGATTTATATTGCCTTAAAAATGCTCACTTGAAAAGGGTAACATTTAAAAGAAAGTAATTTCACTGTATTTTTTTTCACACAAGTTACCACTTGCACACAGCTGCCATTTCTTTATGTGAACTATTATTTCTAGCCCACTTTGGTAAAGAGTCCAATAATTTACTCAACTATCTTTTTATCACTATTTAGATTGGCTAGCCCAAACACATTTTATTATGCTTCTTTCATGTGAAACCCACAATTAATGAAGATCTATTGTTAACTTATGAAGTAAGCAGTATTATGGCATAAATGCTATTTAACTAATGAACCATATGTAAAATAAATTTCTATGACATGCCAAACATGGAATGTAGAGCTAGTAGGAACAGAGTTGTTTTGACTGTGCTAGTTGTAATTCTGGATATTTTATAGCCAATAAGAAAAACTTTATTTCCTGTCTTCTCCATCTAGATGAGGGTGATTCCTTATAACTAGTTTGGGCCAGTGCCATGTACTGTTTATGGTCAACATACAGTCTTTCTCCATGTTCTTCGAATAGAGAATTTTCTAGAGTACTTCTCAGAGAAAAGAAACTAAGCAAAATTTGGATAATTTCTGAATTTTAATATTGTTGAATAACAAAAGGAGAGCAAAGCATAGAGGTTCAGAACAGAGGCTCAAAAAACTTAAATTTTTATTTCATTCTACACAGAAATTGAAATATTAAATTTTGAAGATGGTTCTCACACAATAATTTAACTATCATTACTAACTTTAACATAATCTTATATATAGTGTTTTATAGCTTACATACAGGAATTTTCATCTAATTTAATCATCACCATAATCCAATGAAGAGAGCAAGAAGAATTATAATTTAGTTTATAGCTGAATGAACTAAAGTTCAGAGAGCTTAACTGAATTGTTTAGGGTAACCCAGAACAGGAGGCTGACTGCAAATAAACTCCAAATCTAGTATTCTTTCCAGTTTTTGTGTGTGTGTTTTTTTTTGATTATCTTATCAGTCAATAAATATTTAGAGCAGCTTCACTGGTAGAGAGAGTAAGCAAATACTAACTCCACACAGGCAAACCCAGTTTGAATTAGAAATTGATTTTATTATTTTAAAAACGTGACAAATGTTGCCATATATTATTAAACAACATTAAAATAGTAAACAAAATTCTAGTTAGTAATCATACTCTATGCTTAGGAAAATATATATTACTAATTTTATATGCTGTGTTACTTTTTTCAAAACTTGCATTTCCGTAGTAGAAAAATTAAAAGTAATCTTTGCTGTTCCATTTTGGAAAAAGAACTGTAAAACACACCATCATTTTTCATAGAAATGAAGGAATAAGTGGCATATTTTTCATTATTTTAAAACAGATTATAAAGTTAGTGATGTTTACCTGAGGAGCAATACGGTTAACGATATGTGAGATTTCATCACTGTCTGTGATGTAAATCTGTTTTTTTCTTCCCTTACCTAAAAAAAAAAAAAAAGAAAAAAGTTCTATAAATCGTAAACAAACAGGCCCTCCCTCGTGGCCCATCCAGTTAAAGCACAGCACTAAGAAGCTAAAGAGACTTCAGCATGACCTTGAAGCCCCAGAGGTGGGTGACCACAAGGTGTGGCAGACCTCTCCTGATCCTCCCGATGTTCCCCTCAGCAGTGTACGACAATGATTTGCCTGTTCTGCTCCCCACTCTGTCTCTGGTGAATACTCTCACCGCCCCTGCACCTCTGCCTATACCCCAGTTCTGTGTACACAAATAAATAAATCTTTAAAAAAAATTGTAAGCAAGAAAAAATACCTTAATTAAAAAAAAAATAAAGGTCACTGTTAAAGCAATTTTAATGAGCGAAGCTTAGATAACTATGTACTCTGGCATCACACAGGTATCATGTAACACGTAAGTGTCCCCCAAATCTGCTATTCCTGATATTATAACTCAACAGAAATTCTACTTAAAATCTATAGTCATTTCAAATATTTACCAAGATAAAACAAGTTAACAACAAATTACCTAACTGTTTTGTCATTGGAGAATTTTGATCCCAAAAGATATCATTCAGTCCATCTGGATCATTAGGAGAACTGAAGGTAGATGACAATAAGTCCATTTTCAGCACTCTCTTTGGGGTTTCATACCTTTCTATATAAAATAAATTTAAAATAACAGTTGTCACACTTTAAAGTATCACTTTACTTTGCAATACCCCATATACATTTTATAGCCCAACTGTAAAAGTTTTTCAGATATTATTACTTTAGCCACAATTAAAATGTTTCACATTAAAAGTTCTTGTGATGCTTACTTAACACATTTGATGTCGCAAATTGCAATTACATTAACATAATCTTGAAGCTCTATGAATCTAAAATACCGTGTAACCCAGTTATGAAAATTCATTGCCCATGAAGTTGGGAGGTTTTGGGAACCACCTAATTCAAAGGTTCATTTCAAAATCTAAAGTATCCCCACAGCAACTAAAGTGAAAGTCTAAGTCCCTTTTATGCAAATTTCTCTAACTTCCACTAATTACTTCAAAAAGCATTAGTGATCCACTTGGTGGGGAAAGTTTTATATGATGCCATTTTAAAATTTCTACACAGATTTGTCTGTTTACTCCGGAATTACTTTATGAAAGTAAACAAGACAAGCTAACAAACGTTTTACTTCCAGAACACGCTCCAGGAATGAGGTTTTGTCAAAGTTCCAGTTCCTACTCTGATTTACGAAATTTCATTCATTCACCAGAATGAAACATTCCAGGGCATTTTAGTTTCCCGCTTCAGGGGCTACGAGGCTACGAAGAGGAGGAACTTCCGGTTTATTCATAGTAAGGTGAGCTATCACCAAGTCCTCGAGGACAGCGGTAGCTTTTTATGTGGCCCCTTCGCTAAAGCAAATCAGGGCAAAAAGTGGAAGCGGGGGTAAATCATTCCTCTGGGGAAAAGCTGGAGATAGCAGGCCAACCACGTTGGTTTCCTCGCCCGCCAAAGCTGACGACTGGAGTTGCAGCCTAGATATTAGCCAGCCTCCCCTCAAACAGGTAAAAACCACGACTTATTCCCGTGGCATGGGCGAAGAGTGGTGGTAAAAACCTCACGCGACAGTGCTGAAAACTTTAGCAGAGTCCTACTCGAGCCATGGGGGAGTGGTGTAGGCTACTTTCGGGCTCACAAGTCCGCAGCCCAGTGGCAGAAAAACACTTGAGACTCCACCCCCACCCGCACTCCCGGTTCGCCCGGTGCAAGCTGGGCTGTGGGGCTGCAGCGCTGAGCTGCGGAGGCCGCGCGGCCAACATCTCACCCTCGGGGTTACTTTTACTGCACGAAGCGGCTGCCGGAGGCTGCTCTTGCTGCGGCTGGGGCACGGGAGGTCCCTCTCCCGCCCCGCGGAGCCCGGAGCCGCGGGCCGACCTCAGCCGCCTCTTCCCAGGCTCGACCACCGAGCTGCATTCCTCAGCCGCTTTGCGCGGCGTGCTCTTCAGGCCGGGGCTATCCCCATGTTTCCTTCGCCGACTCATTGCCTACGATCCCCCTCCACCGGCCGTTTCTCTTTCACATTTTGGAATGGGATTCGTAGGGCAACGGCTCTACTGACGGGAGGCCACGCCAACGGCCGCCGCCATTTTGGCTGGTAGGGCGGTCGTAAGAGGCGCCTGCTGATTGGCTGAGTCCGGCCTGGGGGCGGGGCGATCAGGCAGCGGAGGTGTGAGTTTCCGCAGCCGGAACCTGTAACTACTCTGCTGGGGGCAGACTCGGAATTGGGAAGTATCAAAGTTAGGGGCCCTGATCTGGCTTTAGTACGTGAAATGGGGAGCTTACGAGACGGAAAGATAAAATCCACTGCCATCTTTTAAAGAATTTACAACTAACATTACACTTTCGAATTATTGCGAGTTTTTTAGTGTTTTCAAGGAGGGGTAGTAAGAGGTACGGAAAAAAAGAGAAGAAATAAAGCATTTCCATAAGTGGTATTTGCAAAAATTAGGAAAATCACTAAATTTATAATTTGATTTAACAGAATTGCCTTGCTGAATGGTATGCCTTGTCTCTAATGCTCAAAACAACTTTGGGTGAAAACGATTATTGGCTTCACTTATAGCTAGAAAACAGAGACAGAGCAATTAGGAAATTCACCCAAGTGAAAAAGTAGGATGTAAATCAACTATGTACCTCCCAAGGCATCTGGCACAGAATAAGGGCTCAGTAAATAATTATCTTTACTTCTTGTTCCCACTTGAACAGAATCTAGTCCTGTATTTGAGACTATTGATACAATGGCAGTCAAAGTGGAAAGGGAGTCTGTTTGACTTCTTGCTTCATAAGTCACAGGTTTCTAAAACAGCTATAATCTGATGTCTCATCATCAGTTAGAACTCCCTTCATGAACATGAGACGTAAAAATAGGCCTTGATTTTAACATTATGATGTAACTAGCATAATAAATTCAGGAAATATTCAGTATTCAAAAAACAATTCTCTGATCCAATAAAGAAGCCCATGCATATATTGTTCCACTTTCTCATTAATGCAAAGGACTAAGTCACCAACATCCATGTCAGAGATATTATCTTGTTCTCCTTATTTGCCACCATAAGCTGGCTATGAATACTATGATAAAAACATTGTGAGATTCGATTAACTATAGATTTCACAGTACAGTATTTTATATTTTATTATTATTGTAGACTGTATACTAAGCACACTCCATATCAGTAAAGGTTTATAATAAATGTATCTGTGCTTGTGTGCATGTCTGTGTAGTGAGATCTGTATCAAATAATTTTTCTTGCAAGAAAACTGATTGTTGACTATTTGTAAGAACACCACTTATTGGGAAGGACATATGCATTACTCTTGTCTGCTGTCAGAACTATCCCTGAGGTACTTGAGCATGGGAAGTTCAGGACTTGGTCACTTTGTGCTGGTAGTTCTTAGACATGCCATATCAGTAGGAGTTATACTCAGAAAGGTAAAGCTTAAAGATGAAAAGACAAGAAGATAGAATGAATAAATGAATAGAATGCAAAACCAAATAGCCAGAGAGAGAATGAAATGAAGAATAGGGAGGGTTCCTAAATTCACTAATTCATGTTGCCCAACTATTCATTGTCTGGATATACTCCTGAAAGCACTATGGTTTCCCAGACAGAAGACTGAAGTTAAGACTGTGGCTAAGTTAAAAGTGAAATTTGGTTTGGGGAAACTGGGAAGAAGCAATAGCCATTTCACAAAGCATACCTAGTACAGAAGAGTGATTATGAAAATGATTGCAAATTTTATTTATTCCATCCTGAAACTTTACGTAAATTTGCTTGCATGCCCAGTTATAAACCCTTTATTCCTCACATGGCATCTATTGGTATGACTGTGATTTGTATCTCTGGCATGTAATATTTTATGTGTATTTTTTCTGACTGTACAAGCTGTCCATATTGTGGAAAATTTATATGTTACAGAAAACAAATTTTTAAATAAGATTTAAAATGTCATCATTGTAAGATTTTCAGATTAAGATTTTCAAGTGTCATTCAGAGGTAACGACCGTTAATATTGGACTACTTCTTTTTGGATATGGACATAGGTATATGTGTATCTGTGATCTGTATTATATTAGCATGTGTGGATTGCTTTGATTTGCTACATTGTGTTATGAGCATTTTCCTTTGACCTTAATTTTTTTGATACTACTATTCATTTAGGAGGAATGTAAATCTTTAGTTACATTTTCAAAAAAAATTATAAATGTGTCATCTGTCTTCTAAATTTGATTGTGCTCATTAGCAATTTTGTTGTTGTTGTTGTTGTTAAAATTGCATTTGGTTTTTAGAGAAACCTGAAATACAGCAACTTAAACCAGAGCTTCTCGGGTTTTTAAACAAGCCCGAGAATTCCCTGGAGGGCTTGTTAAAACCCAGATTTCTGGGCTTTTTTTTTTGCAAGGTTTTTGATTTAGTCGGTCTAGGGTATGTCCAAGAATTTGGATTTCTAACAAGTTCCCAGGTGATACTGATGCTGCTGACCTAAGGACCACACTCAGAATGACTGGTTTTAAGGAATATGGATTGACAGATGTAAGAAATGGATGGTCTGGCAGGAGTTAGGTATGGCGCTAGTACTTTGTGTGATAGCTGGAACCCTATGCCCCTTATTTTTTCTGTTCCTTAATTGTTCTTTTGTGGCTTCAGCTTTAAGTTCTGTGATGGTTGCTGCTGTTCCCTGTTCCTTACTGGAAGAAGCGTAGGGTGCACTTGTACCTTTTTGCCTCTTCCACTCCCCTCACCCCATTTTCTTCCCCTAAGCTCCACCCTAGGTACTCCTGCTTACAGGTTTTTAGTTAGGACTATGCTATGTGGTCATATTTACCTATAATAACAACTTAGAAATGTATATGTATGTGTGTGTATTTATGTATGTGTATATGTTTGTGTGTGTGTGTGTGTGTATGTATATTTTTAGCCAGGTATATTGCTACCCTGGACAAAACTAAAAGCTGGATATGGCAAGCATTTATCTATCCTTTGTGATTTCAGTGGCAGTCTTTCTAGTGTTTTATCATTATGATATTGTTGGTTTATCATACGAAGAGATGTTTTCTTTCCTTTGTCATCAATAAAGGAATATCAGGCATAGGATTTTTAGATGTGGTACTATTTTTTTTCTTATTTGATGTGTTGATGTAGCATTAGCACCTGTCTAAATGCTAGCTCATCATTGTATTTATGCCCAACTATTCTTTATAGTCTATTGAATTTAACTGCATGTATTTTATTTGTGTTTTTACATCATTTCTCACTAACTAGGTATATCGTTTACTGCATTTTATTTAAAAACGTTTTATATCATAGTTGTTCAACTCTTAATGAAAGCCAGAACTGAGTGTGCACTCTGTCCCCAGAAGTCTACTCAGGTGAGGTTTACGTGGATTATCCTACTTACATTTCATAGACATTTCGTGAACTCTGTACTTTTACTATTTCATTTTATATGTGAGGAAATTGAGTTTGCCAAGTGGCTGCCTATCTAGGAAATTCTAAACTTCTTATTTACCACTGAGATGTCTTCCACCATTTGTTATGTTGGAGAATAGTTTGTGTTACCTGGGATATCCAGCAGATCCTCAAATAATGTTTCATTGTCATGTTGTTCTAATGAGAAAAATGCCTTCTCATGTTGAAGGAAGTGACGTCATTCAAGTACCTGTTTTACTATGTACTGTTTCACTTAAAGTATATTTTCCAAGACGTTATCAGTGACATTTAAATAGAATTTACTGTATTAATTTTCAGAAGGTTAGAATAATTTGTTCATAAAATAAAATCAGATGTTGATTTTCTACTTGATTCTGTAATCCTTAGCTATACTATTTCATGATAAGCTAAAATTTTTCTTAAAATTAATTCAGATATTTAATTCTTCCATATCATTGAGATTTGCAAATGTATTAGTATAGAATTAATGAAATATCCAAAGGTGAAAATGGTGTCCATATTTACCACTGTCTCTTTTATTAGACTTATCAAAGCATTATAATTATATCATGGCTTTCTCAAGGAGCTAGAAAACTGATAACTTATCAGTTTTCTCTTACTGTATTCTATTTCACTGTCCTATAAACATAAATGTCACCACTTTATGCCTTTTCTTTCCTTAGAACATGATAATAGTTGTTGTTTCCCAATTTATTGGCAAAAATGATTAGCCTATTTTTATTTTAGTAAATAACAAAATACTTTGGTAAAAACATCCATGTTAGTGTTTATTTGAATAACTGGGGTTGTAGCCAATTTGGCACATCAAAAAGACTATTAAAATATATAGTGATAATCATAAAAAGTATAAGGGAGAGGTACATTATGTAATAAGATTGAGTAGAGGGAAACAGTTGACTTAGATGTGAAGGCCAGGCAGGGGCCCTTCATTATTCATCTTGTTGCTTGGCCAAGTGGTTTGTAAATATTTAGAGGTTGTGTGCTCAGTTTATTTTTCAGTTTGGCTGACTTCATAGCCACAATATACTGACTATTGACGTAAAGAGATGATTTACTTTATTATTATATGTAACTAAATTATCTTCCTACTAACCCAGGGCAAAATAAATCTACCTTTACAGTATTTCTTTGCTCAGCCACCACTCAAAATATGTCCACCTTTCAAAAGGCATTTAAAGATTTTTTGAAATCTAATGAACTTTTGTATAATTAAGAACTTAATATTTTACCTTCATGTCTTGACAAAGTTCTTAAACCCTCCTGAAAAGATAATAAATCTGTCCCTGGCATTCATGTTCAAGATATAATCATCACAGAGAATATAATAGGCCCTTGGAACCAGTGTAGTCAATGGAGAACACACTGAGCTCCAACATGTGTATAGCTAGCTCCCATCTTCAAAACAGAAGCAAAAAGTAAATGTGTGACTAATCACTCCAGGCACTCCATCTGCACCTTAGGTACCCAGATGTTTTGTCCAGTGAGGTTTTTCTTCAGTAAATAAACTTTCTTTCTTTTCCTATTCTTTGACTATTTCAAAGGTGCTAGTAGCAATAAATTACCAGTAAATACAATGGAAAAGCTAGAGAAATGAAAACAGATAGGTGTTTGGGATACCTGTGCAGA